CATTCATTGCCACAACAGCAGAAAGACATTCTGCAGTTATCATTGATCTATTTAATGTCTCCTACATGACATGAAGTCCAAACTATTGTGTTGTACTGATGTCTACACCTACAAAAACCATAAACCCAACCTCAAAGTAACCTGTCGTGTTTTAGCAACCTCCACACCAACCATAAGCTTAAAACCCCATCTCACGGTAAACTTTAGTGTACTGTAAAGGTCTGCCCCGACCACAACCCAAACCTTGCCTACTTGTAAATTACTGTTGTAGAGCCCGGATAGCTCAGTCGGTAGAGCATCAGACTTTTAATCTGAGGGTCCAGGGTTCAAGTCCCTGTTTGGGCGTGTGACGCTCATTTTGTGGAGCCACAGCTTTTGCTGTTGAGCTATCGCTTGATGAAAGTTTCATCTGGATGCACAATATGTGTACTAGGCATAAAGAAATGGCAGTACAGGCAGTCTTGTAGTCGTGGCCGAGTGGTTAAGGAGATGGACTAGAAATCCATTGGGGTCTCCCCGCGCAGGTTCGAATCCTGCCGACTACGTCCTCCCCCTTTTTAAAATTGCAGCAGTCGTCAATTGTTTGCATTTTCATTGTTTCTTGGGAAAAGCGTTGTGCTGGTAGGAGGAGAAAAACAACAGAGTGTTCTCACTGAAGAGAAAGGGGCTTATCACAGGGAGGAACATACCACACATAGGTCACAACGGCTGTTTCATAGCTCGCCGTGATCGTATAGTGGTTAGAACTTTGCGTTGTGGCCGCAGTATGCCCGGGTTGAACGGGGTCATGTCGTGAATTCGACTTTTCATCAATGTGAAATTATCAGACCGGAGGTTTTGCATATCAGAAAATAGACTTTATTCTCCATAATAAAGCCGAGAAAGAGCAGAGCAGACCCCAGAGCATTCTGAAGTCTCTCCGGGACACCTTCTGAAGTCTCTCCTGCACCTTCTGAAGTTTCAGTGTGTTTGTTACAATTTTTATACAGGATTATTTGACACACCCCAAGTCTCTTTTTAACTCTTGACCATTTTTGAATAGGTTTCTAGTCTAAGGGGTCCTGCTATTCTTGGCTCTCAGCCCACTAGCTCATGTCAGCAGAGATGTTACAGGTCTGTGTCAGCAACTGTTTTGACACCAAAGTTCTCTCTCCATAGATGCAACTTATGCAAAGGAACTAAGTGTTTACATACATTGTTATGATAGGATAATAACTTGATAATGTTACTCATTCTAACTTCTGACACATATAGCTTCATAGAAGTATTTAACATAAATAATCAGTGCTTTACATGTTCAGTTATTCTACACAATCAGTCACTCAGCCTTCTCCTAGTGTTGCTCCTGTAGGCATACTCATCTTACACAGACATATCACTGTATTTTTAACACAGGCTGGCATGTTTGCTGCAAACACTACATACATTTTGTGAAGAGAAAATTAACTGCTTTACACTTAGAAAATACTTCACACTGAGAGAATAGAAATCTTCTTCAAAGCAACTGCCTCAACTTGGTCAACTGCTGAATGAGTTTATGAAGTAATGTGCTATATATGCTTAGAAGCATACTTATAACGATAACTTATTTTAGTTAATTAGAAAAGTTCGGTTTAACTCTAATGTCTTATTTTTCACAACAGCACACATACATGTAAATCTGGAACTACCAGAGAGATTCTGACTGCATCAGCAACTAAACAGCCGCTATCTTTAAATAGAGAAACATGCAGAATAACATCAGCAGCTCATTGTTTATCTTTAACTCATACACTGGCTCTACTCTCCTCCACAACGGTGACACACAGAAGAAATTAGCTTCAGGTTTTACAGTAAAATACTGTTTTTTCCTTGATTTAACAGTAATCTACTGGCAGCTGTGGTTGCCAGCAATCTACTGTTTTTTTACAGTCTACTTCCGTAGTGTAAATTAACAGTATATTACTGTTAAAATACATTTTTACACTGTGTTTTTACCTCTCACACCTTTAACCCTTTAAACCCCAGAGCATATACTTCAGTTTTAACTGAAGTGTCCACACTACTGAGTGTTCAAGAAACATGGAGCAAAGCTGAAGTAAATTCATTAATTAACTGACTAATTAAATGATAATTGAGGATTAACGATGAACAAATGAAGAAATACTGAAGGGAAAAAACAAGAACAGAACATACAAAACTTTAGTCACAGCTTTATGATGAAATAACCTGAAGAACAACAAATGATTAAATCATTTAAATGATCAGCGGATGATTAAACAACTCTACAAACATCATCACCAGCTACACTTATTACTTAATACATGTATTTTTGTATAACATCTACTAAAGTTCTTCTTGAGTAAAAAAGTTAAAGTTTTACGTCACCATCATGGAGAACAGAGTTTGCTTTAGTTGGGCTCTTAGCCCTGTCATTTTTAACATTTATATATCTTGGCTGCTGCAATTGTTAAGAACTTTGTTTAAAAAGCTCTTTTGATGTAGCAAGCCAGCCAAAAACCTAAATAAGATCTGGTGATGTTCATGTTGCTATTAAATGGCAGAGTCTATTCTCATTTAGTATAATAAAATTTACTGCTCCTATTCAATGTTAAATCTATTGTTTTACATTATATGTCTATATATGGCAATGATTTCTGGAAGTTTTTAAGAATATCTTGGACAATAACACTGCTCTATGGTGTAAATCGCACTCAAACAGACATCAATAATCAGCATATGAACCTCAATAATGGTGACAACTAACAAAATTAACAGTTTAACTCACAAACAGGCAACTGAAAGTCTAAACATAAACAACAGCAGAATCAAACACAAATAAAGAAAACTGTTAGACCATTATACAACATTTATTTATACCGCAATGCATGCTGGGATATTTGTACAGTGCCACTCCCAGCATGCATTGCAGCATGAAACATTTGAGATGTTACCATTGTTGAGATACAAGGTCAGATTCATGAGGTCTGAGTGTGTATTTGTCATAACTGAACTGTTTTTGTATGTTATTTCTTAACTGTTAAATAATTACAGAGGTATCTTTTCTGTTTCCACTTCTCATTAATTAAATTAATACCTGCAGCTAAGCATAAAATCTATTGCATGAGGCCCTTCTTCCAGATTTATAACAATACGTTTATTAGAACTAATTTCAGTCAAATAGATTTCTCTATTTATTGACTTCCCAACTTTAATGCTGTAGTACAAACGTTTTGTAAACTCTGTATTACAGCAGTTTGAAAGTCTTCTTAAATGTGTACAAGGGTGAAGAGCCCAACTAAACCAGCCCCTCACTCCATTACGGTGACACAAAAAACACCTTAATTTCTGTTGGATCTCAATGAGAATAGTATGGAAGTCAAATCAGTCAGTAATAAGTGTGTGTCTGCTGTTGTTTGTGGAGTTGTTTAATGATCCTCTGCTGAGACTGAAGCTGTTTTATTTTATTTTATTTAATGTTGTAACTCAAGTCACTGTTTGTGTTTCTTGTTTATTTTCTTTAGTAATTGTAATTATTAACAGCAGGTGTTCAACAGTGTCTGAATTCACTCATTAGTGTTCATTAAAACTGTCAGGTGAACTATATTAGTTAACTAGTGTATGAAATAGTGAACAAGGACACAAAGCGTGATTTCAAACACAGACTTCAAAACATCGAATCTGAACTCTGTTAGCTCACAGTTTTCTGCAGTTGGTTACTTTACCTACAAAAATGTTACCCAGAAAGCACTGTTTTTAACAGAATATTACTGTTTTAGTGAAAAAACATTATTTTACCGTAGAATCTGACCGTTTTTTAACAGCAATTTTTTATAGTGTATGTGTGGTATGTTCCTCCCTGTGATAAGTCCCTTTCTCTTCAGTGAGAAAACTTTGTTGTTTTTCTCCTCCTACCAGCACAACGCTTTTCCCAAGAAACAATGGAAATGCAAACAATTGACGACTGCTGCAATTTTAAAAAGGGGGAGGACGTAGTCGGCAGGATTCGAACCTGCGCGGGGAGACCCCAATGGATTTCTAGTCCATCGCCCTAACCACTCGGCCACGACTACAAGACTAACCGTACTGCCATTTCTTTATGCTTAGTACACATATTGTGCATCCAGATGAAACTTTCATCAAGCGATAGCTCAACTGCAAAAGCTGTGGCTCCACAAAATGAGCGCCATACGCCCGAACAGGGACTTGAACCCTGGACCCTCAGATTAAAAGTCTGATGCTCTACCGACTGAGCTATCCGGGCTCCACAACAGTAATTTACAAGTAGGCAAGGTTTGGGTTGTGGTCGGCGCAGACCTTTACAGTACACTAAAGTTTACCGTGAGATGGGGTTTTAAGCTTATGGTTGGTGTGGATGTTGCTAAAACACGACAGGTTACTTTGAGGTTGGGTTTATGGTTTTTGTAGGTGTAGACATCAGTAAAACACAATAGTTTGGACTTCATGTCATGTAGGAGACATTAAATAGATCAATGATAACTGCAGAAGGTCTTTCTGCTGTTGTGGCAATGAATGGACAGTCAACAATTGAAAAGATTCCTTCCATGCCTTAGAAGCGTGACTTGATCAGTACTTATCTACACAGCATGCTGGCATCAAAGATCCTATTTCTCTTATATCATATCCCTAGTCTTCCACACTTTAGGAAACGTAAACATTCAGGACGTGCCATTAGCACAGCCTGCACTAAAAGAAGGCTGGAGATAACGGATGGCAACACAGAGTGCAACTCCAATGTCACCTTGAAAAATCTGCCATGACCCGGATTGGAGCCGGGGTTGCTGCGGCCACAACGCAGAGTACTAACCACTATACTATCACGGCGAGCTACACGTCAGCCATTGTGGCCCTTGTGTGGTATGTTTCTCCCTTTGATATGCCCCCTTTCTGTTCAGTGAGAACGCTGTTGTTTTTCTCCTCCTACCAGAACAACGCTTTTCCCAATAAACAATGCAAATGCAAACAATTGATGACAGCTGCAATTTTAAAAAGGGAGAGGACATAGTCGACACGATTCGAACCTGCACACGGAGACCGCAATGGATTTCTAATCCATCGCCTTAACCACTCGGCCATGACTACAAGACTGCCTGAACTGCCATGTCTTGATGTGTAGTACATGTATTGTGCATCCAGTTGAAACTTTTAATCAAGCGATATCTCAACGGCAAAAGCTGTGGCTCCACAAAATGAGCCTTACATGCGCGAATAGGGACTTGAACTCTGGACCCTCAGATTAAAAGTCTGATGCTCTACCGACTGAGCTATCCGGGCTCCAAAACAGTAATTTATAAGTAGGCAATTTTTAGGGTTGTGGTTGGTGCAGACCTTCACAGTACACTAAAGTTTACCGTGAGATGAGGTTTAGGCTTATGGTTGGTGTAGATGTTGCTAAAACACGACAGGTTACTTTGAGGTTGGGTATATGGTTGTTGTAAGAGTAGACATCAGTACAACACAATAGTTTGGACTTCATGTCATGTAGGAGACATTAAATAGATCAATGATAACTGCAGAAGGTCTTTCTGCTGTTGTGGCAATGAATGGACACTCAACAATTGAAAAGATTCCTTCCATGCCTTAGAAGCATGACTTGATCACTAGTTATCTACACAGCATGCTGCCATCAAAGATCCTATTTCTCTTATATCGAATCCCTAGTCTTCCACACTTTAGGAAACGTAAACATTCAGGATGTGCCATTAGCACAGCCTGCACTAAAAGGAGGCTGGAGATTATGGATGGCAACACAGAGTGCAACACCAATGTCGCCTTGAAAAACATGCCATGACACGTATTTGAACCAGGGTTGCTGTGGCCACAATGCAGAACACTAAGCACTATATGATCACAGCGAGCTACAGGACATCTGTTGTGGCCCTTGTGTGGTATGTTCCTCCATGTGATATGCCCCTTTCTCTTCAGTGAGAAGACAGTTGTTTTTCTCCTCCTACCAGCACAACGCTTTTCCCAAGAAACAATGGAAATGCAAACATTGATGACTGCTGCAATTTTAAAAAGGAACAGGATGTGGGTATAGTTAACAGGACTTGAACCTGCGGGAGAATACCCCAACCGAGTTCTAGTCGATCGCCTTAACCACGCAGCCATGACTACAAGACTGCCTGTTCTCCCATGTCCTCATGCCTAGTACACGTGTTGTGCATTCAGATGAAACTTTCAGCAAGCGATAGCTCAACGGCAAAAGCTGTGGCTCCACAGAGTCTCTCATGCCCGAACACAGACTTGAACCCTGGACCCTCTACCGACTCCGCTAAAGCTGGGGAACAATAGTCTGTTTTGGAAGGGGAAGAAAAAAGCACAAGAAAAATAAGAAAATTTGAGAAATTGAGAAAGAAAGAAGCGAAATTAAGGTTATATTTTGTATTTTTTGCCCACCAGAAACTACTAAATGCATAAATAACAGTACTAGTTCAAGAAATATGTCCATAAATAACACTTTGGGTAGATCACAAGGTTCAATCCCTGACTGGAGCAGGTATCTAACCAGGTTTAGTAATGGGTCGATCATGAACGATCCGTTCATTTTAAACGAATCTTCAATATGACTCGGGAACTATAAGTCCTCTCAGGGAGTAATTTGTTAATTCGCGCATGCGTACATTTGTGCAGGTGGTGTCATTATTTCAAGTCTTCTTCACATTTCGTGTGGAAAAAAAATAATTGATCCGTTCATCTCTCGAGTCCTCTATTGGGTCTGAGTCATTCGTTCCTCACGGGCCAATCATACGCGTTTAGAGCCGGAAAAAAAATTGATCCGTTCACCTCATGAGTCCTCTATCAGGTCTGAATCACTCGTTCATCACGGGCCAATAATACGCGTTTAGAGCCGGAAAAAGAATTGACCCGTTCACCTCTCGAGTCCTCTATCGCGTCTGAGTCATTTGTTCCTCACGGGCCAATCATACGCGTTTAGAGCCAGAAAAAGAATTGATCCATTCATCTCTCGAGTCCTCTATCGGGTCTGAGTCACTCGTTAATCACGGGCCAATCATACGCGTTTAGAGCCTGTTACGGTCTTTTTGAGTCTAGGGATGTGACTGCAACAGAAAATAAATGATTGGTGGTGGATGATGTGCAATGGCTGGAAAAATAAGAGAGAGAACTCATATCCTCAAACAGAATGGCTAAAAAACTTAGACACAAGATCAAATCAAGAAAAAGAGAAGTTTATTTACATATATCATAATATAACAAAGAAAAACAGGGTTTTAATTCAGAACGGGGCAAGGCCAAAACAACAAACAAAAACAAGCTAACCCCTAATATATTCTCTTGCTAATCTGAAATAAAAGAAACAAAAATACATAAACAAACTAACTCCTTTTTCTAAACAAAAGCAGGGGAAAACTGATTTCAAAACAAAATGGCACCCACCTTCCTACTTAACCCTCAAAATAAACAAACAAACAAATCAACCAGACTCACTTCTCTTTAGGTGAATTATTAGATGTTATCAAGAAGATCATAGAAATTAGAAGTCTGACTCCAATATCTTCACCACACAGTAGCTTATTAAGCCAAATCATATCTGTAAAGCTCTCACAAACAACAGGTCTGAATTTGGAGAAAAGCTCAGCCACTGCACTTGACACCACCAACACTGGTTTGAAGTGCAGCTCAGGTTAAATACTCTCTCTCCTCTCTAGAAAGATCCAATGATTGCTACCAGGTGGACACAGTTACCTGCAGGGAGAGAGAGAGGAAAAACACAAAGCTCATTGTCCACCAAAAGATACGTCTCAGGACGCAAGCCCTGGGATAACCGCTATCACCCTCCTGGAGCATATACAATGAAGTTCTGCACAAGACTTTTGGCCAGCGGAGAAATTAAAATGGTCGTGCCCAACTGAGTCTGGTTCTCTCAAGGTTTTTTTTCTTCACTCCCATCAGGTGAAGTTTTTTTTCCCTCTCCGCTGTCGCCACTGCCTCGCATGGTTCAGGATTGGTAGAGCTACGCATCGATGAATTTGCTCTTCAGTGTTTGAACTCTCAGTAATGATTAAATCACACTGAACAGAGCTAAACTGAACTGAACTGAACTTAAACACTAAAACCTGAACCACACTGTTCCAGTTACTATGACCATTTATGTGAAGCTGCTTTGACACAATCTACATTGTAAAAGCGCTATACAAATAAAGCTGAATTGAATTGAATTGAATACAGGCAAGAAATCCATTAATTAGTTGTTATGGAAGTTATTCATTAAGCTTTTAATGTACTACACAAAATGGTAATCTAAATGTTTATTTTATTATTAGTTTTATTTAATATATGTTTTTTTATTGTTTTATTCTTTAAAGTGAATTACTGGGAATAAAGCACCTTTACAGCCAGACCGGCAAAACCCTGACTCCGGTGCTCCAGAACCCAGAGGAGGAAGACAGGCTGGTGGAGGAAGTAGATGACGAGGATCTACAAGATGAGGGGTTTGAGGAGGAGATCATGGAGGACATCACAGTTCCAGTGCTGTATGAGGATGACCCCTGCCGTGATCTCAGAAACAGCCCCTCATCTTCGCCTCTGCCTCAGTCCCCAGCATCACTGGCTGAGCCGTCCACATCTGCTGGTGGAGAAGGACAGCTTCCTAGCCCAGCCCCCTCATTGCCGTCACAGCCATCCAAGTCTGGAGACAGTCTCTCTGTTGAGGCTCAGGTAAGACACATTAAGAACTTTATTTGATTTAGTCTTTTTTTATTCCACATATACTAAATTTATTTTGTATTTACCATGGAGTAGTCATTGGACCTGATGGCATTGCTGGGTGGGACAAGGTCCAGGATCTGGCTGCTTACTTGTTAGATCTTCGTAAGGCTCCTTACCTCACTGACCTGCAGGTGACAGAGGCCATCCAGCTGTGGACAGCTCTCCTGGATGTTGATAAACAGTGCATCAACTACCAGCCTCGACATCAGCCTCAGCTGACACATGGGCGCTTCAAGGCACCGAAGCACTCCGGAGTCACTCCAGGTGTGGAGAGAGCGTCAAACACTGTCTGATTGGACATCCTGGGGGTCCAGCACAGTGGCCTAGCACCAGCTGCTTGGTTGAGGCCATTTGTACAAAGCTGTTTGCCGTACCCAAGTCCACTTCGAAGAAGGCTGGTGTTTGCACCCCCAGGTGGTCTAAAATTCTGACCAATTACCACCACATCCGGGATCTGGTGCTTGGCAGTCGCAGGCTGATGGATGAAACGGTGATTCAGCTTTTTGAGTTAAATTTTTTGTGTGTGTGTGTCTGTTGTAGATGGACTACAGTGCCCAGTTTCGCAGGGAGGCCACCGGTGAGCTGACCCTTAAACCATCACCTGAGGCAGTAGCTCTTGCTGCTGCCTACAGAAAAAATCCCACTCCGGGCCGTTCATGGCCTGCGGCAAGGGTCAAGGAGGAGGCTATCGCTCGCGTGGCAGCAGCGGGTGGTGACTCGTCTTGTCACCAGCTCGTGCTCAGCGAAAGCGCCCTGCAGTTCGGCCAGTACCGGGGTAAAACCTTTAAATGGTTGCTTTCCAACGATGTTGGTTATGCAGCCATGGTGCTGGCCGTGCATCAGCGGGAGCGTGAGGCTGGTGACACCACCCAGTCATTCATCATGGGAAACAAAGACGCATTGCTGCGGTATGCTGGCTTGTTTCCTGTCATGATGGCTGCCATCAGCGAGCGCCGTGTCAGAGAGGGCCATGGCACACCAGCCCAGGAAGACCAGGTTCTTGTTGGTTTTGGCAACTTTGCTGCCATGTCCTTCAAGGACCTTTATGAGGCAACGGACCGTGACAGAAAAGGGTATGGGTTGACATCTGTTACAGAGGATTCAGACAGTAACATACAGTATAGTGTTTGTCTCTCCAAGTGTAGTGTTTTTCAAAGGTGTTCTCTCTATTTTCAGATTTGTCAAGTGGGTAAAAAGGCAGAGTTCCAGACCTGGCACAAAGATGGAACTTTTCCAGAAATATATAAGGAGAAGAGATGCTGAGATGCTGCCAGGATCAGCACCTCCAGGCATGAATTTTACGTGACTTCATTTTGTTTTTATTATAATTGCTGTATAAACTTAACGCAGCTTTTGAAACAGCACTGAACAGTAATGACTTGACCTTGCTTTAAAGTGATTTTGTCATTTTTCCAGAATGTTTGCATACTGTAAAGTGCTTTGAAAACTATTTTTATTGTGTTAAGCACATATTAAATAAAGATGACTTAATGCTGTTTATCCTTATGTTAACAGTTGCTGCCTCCAGCTCAGCTCCTGAGGAAGAACCATCTGATGAAGCTCTGCTTGCCGTAGTGTCACACATGGATGTTTCAGGTGGGAATTACGTGGGTTTAAATTTGCCCTTTAATTTAAGAATACTGTGTTATTGTACATTTATATGCCCTACTGGGCTATTGTACGTTATATAACCTGGTTTGTTATTATGTATTAGCAGCTTTCAGCTGGATGGTTTTGGAAGCAGTAAGGTAGGAGGTGTACTACACCTTCTGATCATCGGTAGCTAACCTGGCTTTTTCTAACCTTTATCTTTTTCTGCTTTTTACCAAATATAATGACAGCTTTTTTCTCTCTTAGGCTTTTTTCCTCACAAATTGCTTTTTTTTTACCACCGACCGCCGCCATTTTTCATCCCGCTCAACATTAAACTAACTTTTTATCATCACATATTTATGCTCGTCTTCATCTCATTACAATAATTTTAATCATCACATACATTGCAACAACTAATGTTAACATGTTACTAATGCTTAATTGTAGTACTAATATCTAGCAGTAGTAAATTATTATTATTTTTTATTCTGTTAGAAGTATTACTATGAGAGATTGTGCCAATTCTATGTATCTCATTTCCTTTTTTTTTGTGCCATGCACTGTAGCTGACTTGGCTCCTGAACCACCCGTCCGGCCTGAACCTGTGCCCTCTGCGTCGAAAGCTGCTGCGCCAGAAAAGCAGCCTCTGCCCACAGAGGAAGTAAGTAAAATGACTAGTCAAAAATCAGACACCAAAAAAGTAGACATGTACACGATTTCTGTTTTTCCTTTCCCTTACAGCTGCTGCTGCCAGAAGGCTGGAAACAGACACTTCCCAAGGAGCAGCATTTGTGGGTCAGCAAGGCTCTTTTCACCAGAGACAAGTCTGGCAGACTGGCGCTGACTAAAAACTTGCGTCTCTGGTGGCATCCTCCTGGGCCCCGTCCTTTGTATTCTCAACCTCCTTCATCACCAGATGCCTTTTATCATGCAAGGCTGTTCCTGTGGGTCCCTTATCGCTTGTGGGCATACCGGCTGCTGTGTTCACAGCCTAACTGTCGGCGTCTTGGTTTCCCGATGACGGCGTGTGGACTGTACAGGACGGTCAGGAAAGTCTTGGACGTCAGTGGCTGGTACTACATGGCTACAGAATATCTTGAATGCAGGTCCTGCAAAAAAAAGCTAGCAGCCTGGTCTCAAGATATTCTTAGCCAGCTTGATCCTGTCCACAGGGAAATGTTTCCTGCAGTCTTGACCTACAGGTTGGCATATTTATTATGATTTTATATATATATATTTCACTAACACACACACACACGTACAATACATGAAATGCATATAATATATTAAATAAATACTAACTAAACATGATTATTTGTTTGACAGCACTAGTTTTAACATGGAAAAATGTCTGTTCTGATTAGTCTGATATTTAGCTGCCTTTTTGTGTGTATTTTTTATTATATAGGCTGTCCTGTGATAAGGAGATTGTGAGGTGGATGCGGGGACGCTCACTTGGGAACAGTGCAACGTCTGCCTACCGAAGCCTGTGTGTCAGGCACAGAGAGCAATGGATTGCCCAGACAACCCATTATCTCTCTGTGGTTGGGAAGTTCCCAGACTGCACCACAGATCCCAGCAGTCTCGCTGCCCGGCTACCTCAGATGGTGCCTGTGCCTTGTCCGGCATGGCTGCTGTCAGTGTATGCTAAAGATGTACTGACACGGCTGCCTGAACTAAAGGCTAGGGTGACCTCCATCTATGGAACCATCCTAAAGATGGATTCCACTAAAAAGGTAAAAATACACACACTGATAACATCATTGCCACATTACTGTTTTGTTATTTAATTTATTTGTCACAATATGTTATTTTCCAACCGTAAAACAACAGGTCTTCTATAATATTACTATATTTCATCCTGTATTAGGTCACTAAGAAACTGGCTGGTGAGGCTGCTGGCACTGCAGCATGGGTCACAGATGTGGGCAACGAGTTTGGCCAGGTTCTCATGTGTGTCCTCACTGAGGCAGAGGGTGATGGCCTGCTTCCCATGTGCTCTAGACTCGTGGAGCGCTACCGGAGAGCTGGAGAAGTTCCTCCCCAACTTCTCTATGTGGACCGGGACTGTTGCTCTGCCACTGGGAAAGGAAAGGCGGCTGCAATGTTTAGCGAGTGGGACCAGCTCATTGTCAGGCTGGATGTGTGGCACTTCATGCGGCGGTTTACCGTTGGAGTGACCACAGACAGCCACCCGCTTTATGCACCCTTCATGAAGCGCCTCACTGCTTGCATCTTTGAATGGGATGCTTCAGATGTGGAGAGGCTAATGGAGGCCAAGCGGTTGACAGGCTGCCAGCCCACTGCCAAAGAACTGGCAAAGCATTGCCGCCGCCGCACTCGAGGGGCCCAGGAGACCATGCAGCTTCTTGAGAAGCTGCTGCAAGACTTCATGGGGGCCACTGACACCATGGGGATTAGACTTCTGGACCAGGAGAGGATGCAAGAGATCTGGCAGACCCAGCAGCGCCACGTTCATTGCATCCAGGACCCGCCAGGTGTACAGCTGTACAGGAAAACAGGGCAGGTGACCAAGGAGGGGGTCATTCTGCCAGTGTATCGCTGTGCACGTGGCTCCACATCTCTGGAGTCATTCCACCTGCACCTAAATCGCTTCGTCCCAGGTTAACATTACCCAAAAAATGCCACTTGTTGTTTATTTGTGTGTTTGTACTATGATTTTACAATCATTTCTAAATTTGTTTTTAGGTACAAGTGCAAATGCTTTGCATTTTCAAATGTACCTGCTGGAAGGCCTGGTGCAGTGGAATGAGGCACGTGGGGTCGCTGCAGTAGAGGGTGCCCGCAGAGAGAACATCTGCTACGGTGGCCAGCTGCTGCAGTACTGCAATATACTGAGCCAGCAGCTCCTGGGACAGAAACTGGTGCAGGATTACACCAGCCCCGGTGAATATACAGGTATTGCATTAATGCAGACATTTTATTTTAGCTGTTTTCCAGCCATTTCTTTATTTAAAGCATTTATGCAATAAACTCTGTATTTCTACAGGAGAGCTTATTGGTGTGGAATACTTGTATTCTCAGACCAATAGAGCTCTAGAGGAAGACCTGGCTAAAGATCCTGATGTTCCCGATGACCTTCAGAATGAAGACCTACTGGCTGATCTGGAGGGCGATGAGGGGTTTGAGGATGCATACCTCGACGAGCCCACTGAATTTATGGAGCTTGAGGGCAACCTCCAAAACCCCTCTCAGCCCTCATCCCAGACAGACCCAGCAGCTGTGTCTTCCTCTCCTGCGTCGTCCAGTCAGAGCCAGGTCAATGAACACTCAAACACACTGTGTACACTGTGATGTCATGATACGTGATGATTCTGATATTTAATTTTACCACAAAGGAATGACTAACTTTGAGTAAAATTTAACAAAAAGTCATTTCATATTGGTACATTTATTTATTTATTTTTTATTAATTTGTTTGTTTGTTTTCATGTACAGATGGAGAGTGTGGGACCAGATGGCCAACCTGGATATGACCATGTCATTAGACTGGCTGACTGTCTGGTTGACCTGCGGCATCAGGGGTTTGTCACGCAGAGTATGGTAGATAAGATTGTCATGCTGTGGAACCACCTAGCAGATCATGACAAGGGACCTCTCATCTATCCTCCCCGCCACCGTGACAAACTGCTGAAGGGTCGCTTTAAGGTCAGCCATTCGAAGACCAACGTAACCCCCGGCACAGATAGTCTAAAGAGGTAGCTTTTTTTGTATTCTGTTTTTTTTATTTTTCTATTCATAGCAAGTCTTGGAACCAGCGTTATTGATGTGGTTGACTGATATGTGTCTTATGGTATGTCCCTTTTCATTTCACAGATGCTTCCTTGGTGAAGGTGGACCTGCACAGTGGCCCAGTGCAAGCCGTCTAGTGGAAGCTATCTGCCTGGCTCTCTGCAGAATCCACCCTGCCAGGCAAACCATCTCCGGAGTTCGTGTGAACCGATGGGCTGCCATTCTAAGGGACTACAGGAAGATCCGTGATGTAGTCTTGGGCAGCCCTGGAATCATGGCTCAAACTAAATTAAAACTGTTTGAGCTGAACCAGCTTACCATCTCACAGTGGTAGGTTCAGTATTTATTGTTCTTGTTTGTGTCTCCTTTCATATTCAAAATAATTTAACACCTATACTAACTATTATCTTTTCTGTTCATAGGTTCAACGCACGAACAAAGGAGCAAGAGAGGGAGGTTTTGCAGCAGGACATCGAGGCGTTCTCTGCTCCTCTGGTGGCCCCTGTACCGCTCCCACCGGTGCTACAAAAACTGCCGGAAGCAGTCCAGCACGGACACTCGTGTTTCGAGTCTGCAATACCGCAGGATGCGTCTGGACAGGCAGCACCGCGTTCTCGAGGCCGACCGCCTCCTGTGGGCACAGCGGCAGCATCTGTCAAACCTGGTCCTCATGTCTCTCCTGGCACAGCCACTTACCTCACACCTGCCTCCACATCAGCACCTTTTGCAGCACTTGCATTTACCGCAGCACTTGAATCATTTTCTGCAGGCTTTGCTAAGACTGTTGCTTTTCCTGCTGGTGCTGCACCTGTTCCTGTTCCTGCTGGTGCTGCACCTGTTCCTGCTGGTGCTGTGCCTCTTTCTGTTCCTGCTGGTGCTGCGCCTGTTACTGTTGTTGGAGTACTCGCACCAGTTGCTGCGCCAGATGAAAAGAGGGTGCCAAAGACCACAGCATGGCGGCGGAAGAAGTTGGCGGAGGCAGCCGCTGCAGCAGCAGCTCAAGGTTTGACTCCCCGAAAAAGACAAGCACCTCAGCAGTTCCTATGCCAAAAGTGTGGCCAGCCAAAAACTAAAGAATTTGGCCATAGCCAGTTCAGAGGCGTCCACTTTTGTGCAAAGGCTTCTGGGAAAACTGTGGCGCAGTGGATGGAGGAAGTTAAAAAAGGAGAGACAAAATAGACTCTTAAAAATGACCAATTTTGTACATTTGTTCTAAATGTTTATTTTGTTTAAAAAAATAAATAAAAATAAAAAATAAATAAATATATATATATATTCATTCTTGTATATGTTTTAGGGCTTTATGATACCTTAGAAAAATTTGATTACTTCTAAAATAACATTTCCCTAGAAAAATGCAGCTTTTTGTGTGTGTGTTAATAAATCATTTACTTAATATTAAATGGTTAAAAGATCATTTTTAGATGCAATTTAACTCCTAATTCTAAAAATTTTAAGTCTAAAAACACTGTCAAGGTGATTGGCTGTTGTCATTTTCTTTTTTCTTAACTTTTGCAGTTAGTGTTGATTTTTAGCTCTGGGTTAAGCTTTGAGCTGCTCAAGCAAATAGCTGAGCAGCAACTACTGGGAAGGTAGTTTATAAAATAATAATTTATCATACGTTTGTGATTTTTATATCCCATATACTGTTGTCATAACAAAATTAATATTTTACTATATTGTACAGCCCTAATATGTTAAAAGTATAAATAGTTCTATATTTTGTGTAAATAAACTTTTCTAATTTTTTCTAATCTCTGTGTATGTTTCAGCTTTTTTTCTTTTCTTTTTTATAAGATATTTGTTCAGTAGCTACAGTATCCCAAGAGTGGGTTATCTGTTGTGACTCAAATAACTTAATTTATATTACACTTTACATAATTTTTTTCTATTCGTTTATTGCAAACAAGAGTTAAAGAACTTATTTAATAAAATAAAACTTCCAAAAATACTCTGCGTACACATATTCATGTGGTGGCTTTAACATTATCATTGTGTAATTTAAGGGTCCTGTATTTTATTGATAAACAAGTTATAAACAATAGAGTTTACCTAACAGTAAAAAACAATTGTGGTATAAAATTATATTGTAAATTAAACTTAAGTAAATGTTCAATATAAATGCAGTAACACCTAAAAATTATGTGTATATGTTAATGTAACTGTAAAAATTAAAGTAAATAAAATACAACTTTAAAATATATTTAATTATATTCTTAATTTATTAAACTTAAAAGTAATAGTAAACCTATTTAAATATTAATGCCTAATATTTATATTTTAGACTCTTTTAATTATAATATATTTTAATTATTATATATATTATAGATATATATTTTTATATCCTATAACCTAATATTTTTAGGTACTATGATAATTTTGTTTAAATATTTTATTACATGCTATTCAATATTAATAAATAAGTTACCTAAACGTTATGTAATCTTAAACTGAATGTTTTAATTTAACATCAGTTACCCTATACAATATTCAATTTAAAAGTCAATATTTCAGTATGTTTTATTATTGAACCATTAAAATATTTTATTAATTAAAAAAATATAAAATATAAGTCATAATTATAAAAACATTTTAGCTAGCTATGTTGTAAATAAACATACAATATTTAAAGATATTTTAATACATTTATTACAAAATATACTTTTTTATTATTAAATGTAACTCCTTTAAAATGAATTTTCTTTTTCAAATTATTCAGTTACATTGTAATACACATTCTTGATTGCCTGATATACAATGACAGCTGTCCACATGGCTACTTAATATGCACCTGTCATACCCCAGAAAGCACATGGCTACTTGTTATGCCAGTTTCAGGTAGCCTGCCAGCCCGCCCCTGGGCCCGCCTTTGATTTTTTACCATATTGGGCATTTCTTTAATTTCAGCAAGCATGAGCACCCTTCAAGGCCACAGGTGACCCCAATGGGGTTCAGGGGTCACTACCCTGCAGTCCAAGGCCATGTGACGTCGAGAGGATCGCTGGGGGCCGCAGGGTGGGGACAGAGAAGATCCATCAGGTTCCTTTTCGCAGGGGCCATGCTAATCTTCTCTGTATCGATCCAATTTTAGTATATGTGCCACCGTAGCGAGCACAGATGAGTGGACAGGCTCAGGGCATATGTACGCCTCGAGTCCCAGCAATGTTCCTCCAAGGTGGTGGGACCTGGAGAGCCATGTTACCACTTGTATGCCGTGCACTACAGAGCTTTGGTCCTGTCAGTGCTAGGCACACTGATTGATGCAGTAGGTCACCAAGTTTAAAGACTGGGGAAATTAGAGTGTCAGGTTAGCCTATGGCAAAGTCCCACTAAAGCAAAGGCTTTGGAAGTGCATTAGCACAACAAAACAAACGATCAAAGCATCCCACATTCGTTTTCACCATGCATGTAGACTTTCCAGTTGACCCAGCAGCACCTCCCACGATTTGCTAAACCCATCCTCATGCACCATTTGGAATCGTGAAAAGCCTTTTGTCTTTTTTCATTTCTGTACTTTTACCCACGCACTAAAATAGCAATATGGTGCGCTTCACTGATTTGCGTGTCATCCTTGCGCCTCTTGCGGGAGAATCTTCGGTTCCCTTCCCGTTCCACAGTTCCACTTTCCCTTCTTCCTGATTGGCCCGACGTCTGGCTCGGGATTGGTCGACGCAAAGTTCCACAAAGCGTGCTTCCGAATTTGGTCATGTCATGTAGCGTGCCGTTGGCTCTTTGAGAAAGTTCCACTGAACGTGCGCTCCGATTGGCCGCTGGGCGGGACCTCCAGGAAGCGCGATTTATAAAGTGGTGCAGTGGATAGAGGAAATTAAAAAAGGAGACAAAACAGACTATAAAGACGACAAGCTTTGTTGTAAATGTTTATTTTGTTTGACAAAAAAATAGATATATACATGTATATGTTTTAGGGCTTTATGATAGCATAGAAAAACGCGATTATTTCTAAAATAACATTTCCCTAGAAAAATGCATTTTTTTTCTGTGTTATTAAATCATTTACTTAATAATATTAAGTGGTTAAGATATTGTTCAGATGCAATTAACTCTAATTCTAAAAATTATAAGTCTAATAACACTGTCAAGGTGCAAACATTTAGTCTTTAAAACAACTAAGCAAGATAAATGTTTATTTTGTATAAAACAAATAGAAATATACATGTACAAGTTGTAGGGCTTTATGATAGCATAGAAAATGCTATTATTTCTAAAATAACATTTATGATAGCATAGAAAATGCGATTATTTCTACGATAACATTTCCCTACAAAAATGCATTTTTTATCTGTGTTATTAAATCATTTACTTAATAATATTAAACAGTTAAAAGATATTGTTCAGATGCAAATAACTAATTCTAAAAATTAAGTCTAAGTCTAAAAACACTGTAAAGGTGCAAACATCATTTTTTTTAAACAAATAAGCAAGATATTCTGACTCTGATTGGCTGTTGTCATTTTCTTTTTTCTTGTTAACTTCTGCTATTAGTGTTTATTTTCAGCTCTGGGTTAAGCTTTGAGCTGCTCTAGCAAATAGCCGAGCAGCAACTACTGGGAAGGTAGTTTAAAAAATAATAATTTATCATACGTTTGTGATTTTTTTTTTTTAAATATTGCATAAACTGTCGTGATAATAAAATAATTTTACGCTATATTGTACTGCCCTAATATGTTAAAAGTATAAATGGTTATATATTTTGTGTAAATAAACATTTTATTTCTTGTCTCTGTGTACATTTCAGCTTTTTTTTTTAAAAGATATTTGTTCAGTAGCTACAGTGTCCCAAGAGTGAGTTATCTGTTGTGACTCGAATAAGTTTACACAATATTTATATTACACTTTTCATAATTTTTTTCTATTCATTTATTGCAAACAAGAGTTGAAAGATAAAATAAAACTTCCAAAAATACACTGCGTACACATATTCATGTGGTTGCTTTAATGTTATCATTGTGTAATTTAAAGGATGGTAATATTAGGGTTCTGTATATTATTCATAAACAAGTTATAAACTCTAGTTTAGCTAACAGTAAAAATAAAATGGTATAAAATTATATTGTAATATTAAATTTAATATGTAAATTAAATTTAGGTAAATATTCAATGTAAATGCAGTAACACCTAAAAATAATATGTGTATATGTAAATATAACTGTAAACATTGATGTAAATGAAATATTTTAAAATATATTTAATTGGATTTTTAAATAATGTATTAAACTTAAAAAAATTGACAAACCTATTTAAATATCAATGCCTGAAATTTAAATTTGAAAGTATTTTAATGTAATATTTCTTATATCCTACAACCTAATATTTTAGGTACTATATTTAGTTTAATCAGTTGTTTAAATATTTTATTATGTGTTATTTAATATTAATAAATAAGTTACCTGAACATTACGGTCAATATAATTGACAAAATTCTAAAACATTTAAAAGTCAATATTTCAGTATGTTTATTATTGAACTATTAAAATATTTTATTTCTTAAAAGGTGTAAAATAAATGTCCGAATTATAAAAACATTTTATCTAACTGATATGCAATTCAAAAAAGCTATATTTAGTTATGTTGCAAATAAACATAGAATTATATTTGAATATAATGTAATACATTTATTAAAAAATAATACTTATTATTATATGTTACTCAATTCATTTAAAATGGATTTGTATATTTATATATTTAAGTATATTTAACTTGCTTGTTAAATAAATATAATTTTGTTATTTAAACTATTATTTTTATGCAACAATCAATGTGCATGTTCATTTGCTATATAAAAAGGAAATAATGTTTTGCATGCAGATTTATGTGAAATGGTGAATATAGGTCTATAATCACCTTGCAATTTCGAAATCATAGCTTTTTTGCTTTAAGTATAGACTATTCAGTTCATAAGAGCAGTTCAATCTTTTATAAAGTTTGCTGTATAAAAATATAACAATTTAAAATATATATAATTATCGGCCTATACATATCGGCTATCGGCCTCCAAGTCTGAAGAATTATCGGTTATCGGTATCGGTCAAAAAATCCATATCGGTGCATCCCTAATTAAAACCAAATAAAAATATTTTATACCATTCTGTCTCCTCCTCAATCTGCTCTGTTTTACTTGGCATCATTTGTTTAATACTTTCTTTTAACTTTGCCATAAATGTATTTAATTCAACACATTTTAAAAACAAATGCATAATACCTTCATTTTCCAGTCCACATATTTTGCATAATGCATTCTCACTGCTTCCAATTTGTGCCAGTTTTGTTTCAGTGAAAATAACATTATGTCTGATAAAATAATCCAACGTTTAAATTTTTGCGTCTAAATATTTCCATTTTAAATTCTTCCAGATTCCCTCTTCGTCTATTTCCACAAATATTTTTTTCCAAAATTGTTCTGAAACTGGTCTTTTATGCACTTTGTTTCTGAAACAAATGTAGAAAATTTTGAGAACACATTCTTGAAAATCTTTCTCATTTTCCTTTAAAAACATTTTCACATTATTCCTTCATTCGAATTTATGATTTCAAAACTTTCTGGATCCACACCTACATATGTTGCCATAATTTATCGTCCACCCAAACTAAATAATGAATTTCTAAATGACTTTGCTGCTTTTTAACACATATTACCACCCTCTCACCTAATATTATAGTTTTAGGAGATTTTAATATTCATGTGGATAATT